CAATGACATGGTGGACTCTCCTCTGGTGGGTTGCACTGTACATATTCTTTCTCCTCTGAGGGTATTTACCCGAGTCAGCACTCTGACTTTCCCCCTAACCACACCCAGGAGGGTTTGGGGCAGGTTTGCTGTCTCTGCTGGTTCTACAGTCATACTGAGGTCTGTTGGCCTGTTACTGGATGCACATGTGGGGGACACCCCTACCAGTCCCTTAGCATATATTGCTGGATCCCAAAACTCCCAGTGGCACTTTGTTCATGGATGGATGCCTAATTAGTTGTTTAAACGGGAGGACAAATTGTAGGGATGTCTTAGCCACCATAATCTCAATGGTGTGCTTCTTATCAGGTGTCTGGACAAATGTGGTTCTTGCTGGGTCCCTGGGAAAGCTCCCACTGGGTCACTGAATGGGTCCCTAAATGGTCCTGGCTCGTGGCTGAGATGGGCTAGAGCCACGTTTCAGGGCCAGTTTAAGATCTGAAGTCAGACTGAGGTCAGCGAGCCTGTGTCCAGGTGCACAAGCAGACATGTCTCTCAACGAGTTGCTGGGTGGACAGGATGACTACCCCACCACAGATGAGAGGAGCCAGAGCCAGGAAACCAGTGCTAAAGAGTCTGTAGCCAGAATCAAGGTCAGTGGGCCTATTAGCTAAGGCCTGGGTGGGTGTGACTCCTCCCAGGTCCTTGGCCAATAGTGCTGATGGCAGGGCCAAGGCCAAACAGGACTATAACTAAATCTACATGGGGATGAGGCCATTTCCAGATGAGTGGCTGGGATCATGGTAAGTGAGCCTGCCATCATGGGCCAGCCTCTTCAGTCTTGAGCTCCACCAAAGTTTTGCAGCTTCTATATGGATCCCAGAGTTCCCATAAAGGTCCTTTTGTCCATGGATAGCTACCAAATTATCACTGCTGAGCAAGGAACATCCTATTCTACTGCTTTGCTGTCACTTGTCCCAGAGGGAAAAGTACATGTCAGTGTCTTACTCAGTGTTAAGGAATCCAGGGCATCGAGAGTGAGGGAAGGAAAGTGCAATGCCAGAACCAGGATGAGGCCAGCAAAGCACCCAAGCCACAGCTTGTAAGAAGGCACTCACTTTTATGGTTGTACAAGGGTAAAATTTGTACCCTAGGTGCCCCACTTATCTGGCCCTAAGCCTGGTACTAGGAATGTGAGGCATGAAAGAAGAGAAAGTAAAACAAGGTAGCACATTATGAAGCTGGAACTGGCGTAACAAGAAATATAACAAGAAGTCTCTCAGAGGCTGTTTTCGGAACTACTGCATCTTAAGACAGTCCGTTTGTGGGAAGAGGAGCAGGAGATCAATGTGTTATCTCCTTTTCATCTCTATCTTTCACTAATCAAATTTTGCCCCATGAGGTATTAATTCCCCTGATTTGTGGATCTTGTTCCCTGGCCTCTCCTAGGAGTCACTAGGGAAATGAAAATCTCAGCATGTCAAGATAGGTCAAACGTGGCCATTAGAGCCGCTCTGGCTCCTGGGCACTGGAAATGATAGAGCCCTCTGGTCCTGGGGACTCAGAGTTCAAGCCGTGAAAGGGGAGTGCAGTGGGGGCAAGACTCTCCAATGGACACAAGCTAAGGCCAGTGAGCAGGTGGGGGCAGAAATTCTGATAAATAGCTAAGTGGGGTCTAGTCCATGACCTTGCAGAATATATATCACTAGAGGCCTGTTATATGAAATTCGTGCATTCAGGGGGATCCCTCAGCCCAGCCTGCACCCCTTGCAGTCCGGCAGTCAGACATCCTTAGCACTGCCGTGGAGGCGGGAGAGGCTCCTGCCACCGCTGCTGTGCTCACCAGTTGTGAGCCCAGCTTCTGGCTGAGTGGCATTCCCCCTGTGGGTGCGCACTGACCACCAGGGGGCAGCTCCTGCATCGAGTGTCTGCCCCCTGGTGGTCAGTGTGCATCATAGCAACTGGTCGTTCTGCCATTTGGTTGATTTGCATATTAGCCTTTTATAATATAGGAGTACACAGCATATAAGGAATTTTTATAAAAGTTAATCATGTATTAAGACACACAAAAGAAATCAATAAATTCTGAGGAATCAACAACTTAAAAACTATTCTCTAACTATAATGTAAAATACTTGGAAATAACCAGCAAAAAACTTAAAAATTCTCATATAAGAACTTCCAGTTCTAGCTATGATAGAGTAGCTTACATAAGATTAAACTTTCCCATTGCATAGAAGTTGGACAAAATCTATAAAACAGCTTGAAATGCACAAGGTGAATGCCATATTCACCCTGGTATTGCCCCTGAAAGCAACTGCCAAACGTTGCTGACTTACAGAGTTGAAGAAAAAGAGGTGAGAGTTCAGGGTGCCAAAATGGATGGGACTTAAGAGGCAAAATTCAAAGAAAAGAGAATAGCAGAGAAGTGAGGTGAAAATTCAGCACGTATATTCCCCTGAAATCAGTGGCCACCTCCGACCCTGGGCATGCAAGAAACCAGCAGGTGGCAGGACACAATGCTGGGCAGTGATTGCAGCAGCTGGGCAATGCTCAGAGAAAGAATGGAGTTCACACCTCACTCAGGTAGGCAGGCTTCAAAAATACTCCAGACTTCCAGCTGACCCTCGGCGGGCCACACCCTAGAAGCAATGACCACACCCTAGGAGAAGAGGTATCCCTCAGGAGTAAAGAGAAAACTGAATAGAGCAGTCCTTACTGGAACTTAAGCCAGTCTTCACTGGAATCAAACTGACAGCCATCCAGAAGAAAACTTAAACCCTCAACTTTTCACCCACAATTTCTGTCATTAAAATATAAGATATGTAGGGAGGTAAGAGGGGTGAGGGAATGGGAGACATCTGTAATACTGTCAACAATAAAATATAAAAGGTTCAGAAATAAAGTAAAATATATACATATAGAATATGTTATAAAACAGAACTCAATGACTTAAGAGAAAAAAATGTACACAAGCAATCCAGATATCAGAACTTTTTGGTAGGGATTCTAAAGTTACTATGGTTAATATAGCTAATAAATTTAAAAATAAAACATTTTTTTAGAGAGAAATGAAAAATTTCAGAATTGAGAAATATTTTTAAAGCAATTCAACAGAAAGACGCCATGACCTAATAATTTCAAAATATATAAGCAAAAAGTAAATTTTAATATTATTTTAATATGTATAACCTTTTAGGTATTGATGACACCTAGTTGAAAATGTCATACCCTCCTCAACAACTAATAGAATAAGTAGGTAAAAAATAGTAAGAATATAGGAGATTTGGAAAACATGAGGTTAACCAACTTGGCCTAGGAGACATTCATAGGATACCACAAGCAAATGCTACAGAATACAATCTTACATATGCACATGGAACATTTATCAAAATACTCTATAAACTAGCAATAAACAATTCTCAAAATTTCACACTGACATTATAAAGTGTATGCCCTTATTCAAGGAAATTAAAATAGAAAGCAACAACAGAAAGATAACAATAAATTCCCAGATGTTTGGAAGGTAAGTAATATACTTCTAAAAATCCCATGTATCAAAGAAGAAATCAGAATGGAAATTACAGAATATTTTGGGTAACCCAGAGTAGCCTGTAAGAGACTAATTTATTAGAATATTTGTGGTGTATACTTCAAGAATTATCGAGATTTTGCATTCTTCAGCTTCAATGGTGTTTTTTTATAATAAAAAATGTTTTGAGATGTCACCTACTCTCAAGGACTCTCAAATCCATTGAGAAACAAAAAAAGATTGAAAAAAATACACTGCTGAATAAATATATGTGTATAAAAAGAGGGGGCAATGGAGAGATACCCACCAAACTTCTGATAGTTTTTATTTCTGGGAGAAAGAGGAGAGAAACTGAGTTAAGAATGTGAGGGTAAGTGAAGAATGGGGAACTTTTATAATAATTCTAAATAGCCCGAGTCTTCTATACAGCATTCCTCAGTGACTCGGGCAACGTTTTTACCTAAGCAATCCTATATAAAAAAGAGGTGATATGCAAATTGACCATCACACCCTTGCACAAGATGGCCAACCCCATGTGGTCAAAAGATGGCCACCACAAGATTGCCAGCAGGGGAGGGCAGTTGTGGGCGACCAGGCCTGCAGGGGACGGCAGTTAGGGGTGACCAGGCTGGCAGGGGAGGGAGGACAGTTGGGGGGGACCGGGCCTGCAGGGGATGGCAGTTAGGGGTGACCAGGCCAGCAGGGGAGGGCAGTTAGGGGTGACCAGGCCAGCAGGGGAGGGCAGTTGGGGGCAACCAGGCCAGCAGGGGAGGGCAGCTGGGGGCGACGAGGCTGGCAGGGGAGGGCAGTTGGGGGCGATCGGGCTGGCAGGGGAGTGGTTAGAGGGTGATCAGGCTGGCAGGCAGAAGCGGTTAGGGGCAATCAGGCAGGCAGGCAGGCGAGCAGTTGGGAGCCAGCAGTCCCGGATTGTGAGATCCCTGTGGGATCAGGCCTAAACCGGCAGTCAGGCATCCCCCGAGGGGTCCCATTTGGTGAGGGTGCAGGCTGGGCTGAGGGACACCCCCCCGCAGTGCATGAATTTCATGCACCGGGCCTCTAGTGTTTGAAATAACTAACGACTTTGTATGCATCAAGAATGAGGATGCATGCCTATGCTGTCCCTTTGAATACCTTTGGCACACCATCATAGACCCCTGGAGTTATACTTACCAAGGTTTAAACAACACAATGAGAAACAAGGAAGACTGAGTATCACAGAATTGGATGATAATCTAGAATAAAATAAATTGATCATCTAGTTTTTAAATACCACTATTGGCTTTGAGATCTAGGAAAATATATTTTTATGTGAATTAACTCTCAAGTTTAACCAGCCATGTTATTATATACTTAGGAGATTATTACCTGGTTATGATGATATCCTACAATGTTTTACTTGGAAGATTATGCCCAGTGAAAAGGTTGCAAGTGTGTCTTCACTGAAACAATTTAATAATGCTTTTTTTCCCAGAAAACCTTAATTTCTAACCTTTAAAATTGTAGTGTAAATCTCTTTTCACAGTTTCAACGATATCCTTCACCACAACACTTTTGGAAGGCACAAAAGCCAATTCCCACACACCAGACGCAGGGACTTCTCTGAGGAATACAGGCAACTCATCAACAGGCTGTGGAGGGTAATTGAAGGGCCCCGTCTTCTCTCTATACGAAAACCTGCGTGTTAACAGAAGCACGCCAACAAACAGGACAGTCAGGATGAGCTCCGCAGCCAGAGCAGTGCACTGCCGGCGCTAGGAGAGGAAAAGGATACTGTTAGTGGAAGGGAACATTAACTTTCCAAATGACTGGTTATTTGATATTAGCAGGCTCTTCATAAAAGAAGATATAGATGGCAAAAAAAAAACGGCTCAGTATACTAGTACACTAGCAGTTTCCTGGACTGTCTGTTTCTCTCTCCTATGAGTCATTCTGGTGTTCTTTCACTCTCTGAGGACCCCACATATGTGCAAGAGATAACCCTGCTCCAGAACTGGGAAACTGCCACAGTATGAATGAAATGCAGTGACTGGGCTGTCAGATGATTTCCGTGATCATCTCTTAGATGTTGCAATCCTATCTAATAAAGAGGGAATATGCATATTGACCATGACTCCACCACAAACATGGTGGTGCCCAGTCCTCTCAGTCCCGGGAGGGCGGCCGCTGAGAGCAGGCAGCGTGAGAGGCCTGAAGGAATGCTTGCTTTGTCACCGCGGCGATGAGGCAAGTGTTCCACCCTGGCCACGGAGGGCCTCTGGGCAGTGGGCACGGAGTGGCCAGGGGGGTTGAGGGGGGGAGAGAAACACTTGCATTGTCGCCCCAGCGACAAGGCAAGCGATCCGTGCCTGGCCACAGAGGGCCTCTGGCCAGGGAGGGCAGTTGGGGGCCATGAGGCCAGCAGGGGAGGGCATTTGGGGGCAATCAGCCCAGCAGAGGGGGGGGGCAGTTGGGAACGAGCAGGCTGGCGGGGGGGGGCAGTTGGGGGCAAGCAGGCCAGCAGGCAGAGTGGTTAGGGGCAATCGGGCAGGCAGACAGGTGAGCGGTTAGGAGCCAGTGGTCCCAGATTGCAAGAGGGATGTCCAACTGCCGGTTTAGGCCCAATCCCACAGGGACATCCGCCAAGGGGTCCCAGATTGGAGAGGGTTCAGGCCGGGCTGAGGGACACCCCCGCCCCCATGCACAAATTTCATGCACCGGGCCACTAGTAATCCTATAAATAGCTCAACTTACCTTTAAAGTAAAATTCTTCCACAGAAGAACCATAAATTTGTTCAACACCAACAAATCCATTCTTCAACTCTAAGGAGGAAGTAAAGTTTTTTTTAAAAATAAGATTATCTAAAAAAAGGTAAATTTTAGGCAATTACTTAAATTTGAAATAATTTTCTCATCAGTCTTAAAGGATGACAACATAAACAAAAAGCATTTGAAATATCTGAGAAATTGTTTCTCCTTACTTTTTTTAAAAATATATTTTTATTGATTTCAGAGAGGAGAGGGATAGAAAGATAGAAACATCAATGATGAGAAAGAATCATTGATCGGCTGCCCCCTACTGGGGATCGAGCCCGCAACTCAGGCATGTGCCCTTGACTGGAATCAAACCCGGGACCCTTCAGTCCACAGGCCGATGCTCTATCCACTGAGCCAAACCAGCTAGGGCTCTCCTTACATTTTTAATTTACTCAGCATCTATTGAGCTTCTAATAATGTACAAAACTTCAAGCACAAGAAATGATCAGTGAGTTACTGATGCAAGTTTCCAGGTAAATTTGTCCAGTAGCTTTCCCAATTCTTATCAAAATACTAATTCAGAAACAATACAAAGCAAATCATCACCATAGAAAAAAAGCAAATAACAAGAACAAACATAAAATAACATCACACCTGTACGCTCAACATGCCACTCAGCAATTTGTGAGCTTGGAAATACCTACATTAACAACATTACTAATGGGAGCAGATTCATTCTTACATTTAATGAATATTTTCTGAATATCTATTATGTGCCATGTTAAGTGTGGGTGCACAATGGGAAACAAAGAAACCCTTCCCTCATGGTGTGGGTGGGTGGCACGGTAGGTTACTATAACCCAGATATAAGAACAGACTGTCTAGATTGATTTCCTAGCTCTACCACTAACTGTGTGACCTTGAACACTTGACTCCAATTTTGGGGGGCTACCAGGAAGAGAGCTGAAATTCGGGGCCAAGAGGGAAGGCATATCTTATGAATAAGAATGAATGTGAAAGGCACTGGCCCAATTTCAAGTAATTTTGATCTTTGATACCAGATGAAGGTGATCCCAGACCACAAATGCCTACAAGTGCCTAGCATAAAAAAGAACTCTACTCTGGAGAAAAATAATACCATCCTAGAATCAACTATTCCTACAAGCAATTTTTCTGAATCTGGGCCAAAATTATCAGAAGCAAAATTTAAAATCACTATGCTTACCATTTTCTTTTTTTTTCTTTATATTGAATTTATTGGGGTGACACTGGTTAATAAAATTATACAGGTTTCAGGCACACAATACTACAACACGTCATCTGTACACTGCATTTTGTGTTCACCACCCCAAGTCAAGTCTTCAGCCATCACCATTTATCCCCCAATATACCCTCCTCCTCCCATGCCCCCAGCTCTCCACCCCACCACTGGAAATGCCCACACTGTTGATCATGTCTGAGTTTTTTTTCTTTTTTCGCTCAATCCTTCCACCATCACCCCCCACCAACTCCCCAATAGTTCTCAGCTACTGTGGAAAGCAGTATGTGGAGTGACCTCAAAAAGTTAAAAATGGAACTGCCTTATGACCCAGCAATTCCACTTCTAGGAATTTATCCCAAAAACCCAAAACACTAATTAGAAAGAATATATGCATTCCTAAGTTCATGCAGCATTACTTGCCATACACAAGATTTGGAAGCAGCCCAAGTGCTCATCATGGATGAATGAAAAAAAATCTGTGGTACAGCCCTGACTGGTAGCTCAGTGGTTAGAGCACTGGCCTGTGCACCAAAGGGTTGAATGTTCGATTCCTGGTCAAGAGCACGTACCTAGGTTGCAGGTTCAATCCCTAGTTAGGATGTGTGTGGTAAACAATCAGTTGATGTGTCTCCCTCACTTGGATGCTTCTCTTTCTTTCTCGCTCTTTTTCTCTCCCTTCCTCCCTTCTACTCTCTCTAAAGTCAATGGAAAAAATATCCTCAGGTGGTCTACTAGCAACAATCCACAGACAAGACACCATTATGAAAACCCCACAGCGTGGCTGAGCTGAGTGGGTGGCCTCATCTGGCCAAGGAGCTCAGGGGGCAGTTCTGATTGATTTGGGTCCACAGTCAGAGAGCCAAGGCCATAGAGCCTGTTTCATGACCCAACCTATGCAGGCTAGCAAATCATTTGACCATTATGGAATACAGTATGGAGATTCCTCAAAAAATTAAAAATAGATCTACCAATGACGCAGCAATTCCACTTGCAGCATATATAACTGAAGGTTAAAGTTATCTCAAAAAGACATCTGCACTCACAGCCATGTTCACTGCAGCATTACTTACCTTAGCCAAGGCAGGGAAAGCCTATGTGGAATATCAATCAGCCATTGAAGGGAAATGCTGTCATTTTCAATAACATGTATAACCCTTGAGGGCATTATGCTAAGTGAAATAAGTCAGACAGAGAAAGACAAATGTGTGATATCATTTACAGGAGGAATCTAAAAGACTGAATTCATAGAAGCAGAATATAGATTGGCGGTTGTCAGGAGAGGGGAACATGGGTGAAAGTGGTAAAAAAGTGCTAACTTCCTGTTATAAGATTAATAAATAATGGTGACTATCGTTTTTTTTAATTAAATCTTTATTGTTCAGATTATTATATTTGTTCCTCTTTTTTCCCCCCAAAACTCCCCTCCTCTCAGTTCCCGCCCCACCCTCCGCCCTCACTCCTCACCCACTATCCTCATCCATAGGTGCACGATTTTTGTCCAGTCTCTTCCCGCATCTCCCACACCCCTTTCCCCCCCAAGAATAGTCAGTCCATTCCCTTTCTATGTCCCTGATTCTATTATAATCACCAGTTCATTCTGTACATCATATTATTTATTCACTTGATTCTTAGATTCACTTGTTGATAGATGCATGTTTGTTGTTCATAATTTGTATCTTTACCTTTTTCTTCTTCTTCCTGTTCTTAAAGGATACCTTTCAGCATTTCGTATTAATACTGGTTTGGTGGTGATGAACTCCTTTAGCTTTTCCTTATCTGTGAAGCTCTTTATCTGACCTTCACTTCTGAATGATAGCTTTGCTGGATAAAGTAATCTTGGTTGTAGGTTCTTGCTGTTCATCACTTTGAATATTTCTTGCCATTCCCTTCTGGCCTGCAAAGTTTCTGTTGAGAAATCAGCTGACAGTCGTATGGGTATTCCCTTGTAGGTAATTGACTTTCTTTCTCTTGCTGCTTTTAAGATTCTCTCTTTGTCTTTTGCTCTTGGCATTTTAATTATGATGTGTCTTGGTGTGGTCCTCTTTGGATTCCTTTTGTTTGGGGTTCTCTGCACTTCTTGGACCTGTAAGTCCATTTCTTTCACCAGGTGGGGGAAGTTTTCTGTCATTATTTCTTCAAATAGGTTTTCAATATCTTGCTGTCTCTCATCTTCTGGCACCCCTATAATTCTGATGTTTGTACGCTTGAAGTTGTCCCAGAGGCTCCTTACACTATCTTCGTATTTTCGGATTCTTTTTTCATTTTGCTTTTCTGGTTGGGTGTTTTTTGCTTCTTTGTATTTCAAATCTTTGACTTGATTCTTGCGCTCCTCTGGTCTGCTGTTGGGTGTCTGTATAATATTCTTTATTTCAGTCAGTGTATGCTTAATTTCTAGTTGGTTCTTTATCACAACATCGAGGGTCTCATTAGATTTCATGAGACTCTCATCAAGTTTATCGGCAGTTTCTAGCAAATTATTGAGAGACCTTAAAAGTGCGTTTTTTAGCTCTATATCCTCCATTTCTGTCATGTTTCTTTGTCTCCACATTTTTTATGCTTTCTTGGTGCACCCCCTTGTGGTCTTTGTGCGCAGTCTTGTTGTAGTTAACCCTTGATTGTTGTCGGCAATACTGGGGGTGAATTGACCTCCAGGTTAACTGGCTGTGTCTGCAGTGGGAGAGCTTCTGTGCTGCATCTCTAGGGCGGTGCTAATCTAGCCTTTGCCTGAGGCAATCTGGCAAATGCCTCTGTGCAGGGCTTGGGTGGGGCGGGTCCCAGGGGATCTACAGGGCGGGCGGAGCGAGCAGTTATGGCTGCTCTCAGTTCTGTCCCCAGCGGCTCTGCAACTGCTGCAAACCTCGGAGAGAAAGCTGCCTTCCCGTTTCTCCCGTTTGAGTCTGGGTCCCTAGAGACTCGCCCGGATCTGGAGCTCAGAGTCTGAAACTCCCTCCCGATTGAAAACAACAACCGCGCTCTCCGCCACCAGCCCACTCCACATGCACTCCGCAATGGTGACTATAGTTAATTATACTGTATTGTATGTTATAAGTTGCTAAGGAAGTAAATCTAAAAGTTCTCATCACACACAAAAAATTGTAACTATGTGAGGGATATATGTGTTAAATTTATTTTGGAAATCATCTTGTAATATATACATACCTCAAATCATTACATTGTATACCTTAAATTTATACAATATTATATGTCAACCAGAGGCCTGGTGCACAAATTCGTGCATGGGGTTGGGGGTGAAGGACCACAGGAGGTTGGCTGGCCACAGGAGGTTGGCTGTGGGAGCACACTGACCACCAGGAGGCAGCTCCTGCGTTAAGCTCCCTGGTGGTCAGTGCGCATCATAGCGACCAGTCGTTCTGGTCATTCGGTCATAATAGTCGCTTAGGCTTTTAAATATATCTATTGTATCTATTAAATCTGGGGGAAAATATAGTCAAAAAGTACAGGAAACATTTTAAAAAATGGACTACAGTCCTCAAGAGACACCTCAACGACAGAAGATATACAGATAACAAATAAGTATATAAAAAATGCTCTATATCAGCGGTCACCAACCGGTGGTCCATGGACCACTGGTAGCCCATGAGGTCCGAGAAGTTGGCGACTGCTGCTCTATATCATATGTCACCAAGGAAATGAAAATTAAAACAACAACAAGATACCATGTCACAACTATCAGAATGGCCAAAATCTAAAACCCTGACATCAATGCGGGCAAATATTTGGAGCAACAGAAGCTCTCATTCATTGCTGGTGGGAGTGTAACCTGTATAGCCACTTGGGAAGACAG